AATGGAGTATTAACTACAGTTAAGGTTGCAAATAATCACTTGTAAGCAGGAGCTGAAAAAGCTTGCGACTAAATTATTAGAAACTCTTTGTATTTTTCAGATCAAGTGGACGATTTTCTATTAGCTGACTAAGACAGTTTGGGCGATGTTTCAGTTGTCAAAGACAGTTTGAGTGGTGTTTCATTTGTCTAAGACAGTTTGAGTGGTTTTTCAATTGTCTAAGACAGTTTGAGTGGTGTTTCGTTTGTCTAAGACAGTTTGAGTGGTGTTTCAGTTGTCTAAGACATTTTGAGTGGTGTTTCAGTTGTCTAAGACAGTTTGAGTGGTGTTTCAGTTGTCAAAGACAGTTTGAGTGGTGTTTCAGTTGTCAAAGACAGTTTGAGTGGTGTATCAGTTGTCTAAGACAGTTTGAGTGGTGTTTCAATTGTCTAAGACAGTTTGAGTGGTGTTTCAGTTGTCTAAGACAGTTTGAGTGGTGTTTCAGTTGTTTAAGACAGTTTGAGTGGTGTTTCAGTCGTTTGAGACAGTTTGGGTGGTGTTTCTCTTGTCTCAAGACAATTTGAGTAGTGTTTCAGTTGTCTAAGACAGTCTGAGTAGTGTTTCAGTTGTCTAAAACAGTTTGGGTGGTGTTTCAGTTATCTAAGACAGTTTGGGTGGAGTTTCAGTCGTCTAAGACTGTGTGGGGTTTCTGTTGTCTCAAGACAGTTTGAGTGGTGTTTCAGTTGTCTAAGATTGGGTGGGGTTTTAGTTGTCTAAGACAATAAGTCGAGGACACAGTCTATGTAGCGGACATGGCCGTCTAGTACACAGCCTTTGTGTCCGAGATGTCTTCATGGGATGTGTATTCTTTGTGCGCTGGTTTCCTAGCTGTCTCCACTTCCTGCGATTTTTAAGACAGTTTGAGTGGTGTTTCAGTTGTCTAAGACAGTTTGAGTGGTGTTTCAGTTGTTTAAGACAGTTTGAGTGGTGTTTCAGTCGTTTGAGACAGTTTGGGTGGTGTTTCTCTTGTCTCAAGACAATTTGAGTAGTGTTTCAGTTGTCTAAGACAGTCTGAGTAGTGTTTCAGTTGTCTAAAACAGTTTGGGTGGTGTTTCAGTTATCTAAGACAGTTTGGGTGGAGTTTCAGTCGTCTAAGACTGTGTGGGGTTTCTGTTGTCTCAAGACAGTTTGAGTGGTGTTTCAGTTGTCTAAGATTGGGTGGGGTTTTAGTTGTCTAAGACAATAAGTCGAGGACACAGTCTATGTAGCGGACATGGCCGTCTAGTACACAGCCTTTGTGTCCGAGATGTCTTCATGGGATGTGTATTCTTTGTGCGCTGGTTTCCTGGCTGTCTCCACTTCCTGCGACGTCTGCAGCTTTTGTTCTTCTTCCCACGCCTTCTCTGTTTGTTTTTTCTCCGTTTCTTCTTTCGACGCCGACAGTTTTCTGCTGTTGAATGTGTAAAAAAAAATCAAGCGTTACAAAAAAAGATGAATTTGTGGCCTCACTTGGTTTTTCAGGGAACGGACTGTCTAAGACATGAATGTCAACAACTTGACATCTTGAGTGTCTTTCGTTTTATTTTCGTAATTTAAAAAAAAATATTTTGTAATCTGTTGTTGGCAACATAGACTGTAATTATATATTCAACTGATCAAATATTTATTTCCAAAATAGCTTGCGATGTTTAATTTGTAAACGCTTGATTTTTTTTTTCCTGTTTTTCTAAAACGGCGCAGAAACCATATGCCTGTGCAGACAGTCGATCTGCACAGGAGCCCAGTGAGAGAGGTCTCGTGGACACACTCAAGCATCAAACTCACACCGGAGCCCATCGAGAGAGGTCTCGTAGACACACTCAAGCATCAAACTCACACCGGAGCCCAGCGAGAGAGGTCTCGTAGACACACTCAAGCATCAAACTCACACCGGAGCCCAGCGAGAGAGGTCTCGTGGACACACTCAAACAGCAAACTCACACCGGAGCCCAGCGAGAGAGGTCTCGTGGACACACTCAAGCATCAAACTCACACCGGAGCCCAGCGAGAGAGGTCTCGTAGACACACTCAAACAGCAAACTCACACCCGAGCCCAGCGAGAGAGGTCTCGTAGACAAACTCAAACATCAAACTCACACCGGAGCCCAGCGAGAGAGGTCTCGTAGACACACTCAAGCATCAAACTCACACCGGAGCCCAGCGAGAGAGGTCTCGTAGACACACTCAAGCATCAAACTCACACCGGAGCCCAGCGAGAGAGGTCTCGTAGACACACTCAAACAGCAAACTCACACCGGAGCCCAGCGAGAGAGGTCTCGTGGACACACTCGAGCATTAAACTCACACCGGAGCCCAGTGAGAGAGGTCTCGTAGACACGCTCAAACAGCAAACTCACACCGGAGCCCAGCGAGAGAGGTCTCGTAGGCACACTCGAGCATCAAACTCACACCGGAGCCCAGCGAGAGAGGTCTCGTAGACACACTCAAACATCAAACTCACACCGGAGCCCAGCGAGAGAGGTCTCGTAGGCACACTCGAGCATCAAACTCACACCCCAAAAGACTGTCTTGGGGCACTGGTTTTTAACACGCATGTCGCTATAAGTCAGGAATGGCGATGGACTGTGGTTGGCGTCACTGTGTGTACCTGGCACGCCTGAGGCCCACATACGATGTAAGGAATGTAGACACCAAATACAAGCACTATCACATCAACAACAATAACAAAAGCGTCAGTTCAGCTTGAATAGCAAGGGCGCCATCTTTGTCAAGCCTACTATCGTCATTCTTTCTTCATAAGATAATTGGGTGATTTACTCAAATAAGGTGAGAAGCTGAAATCAAATGACAGAATCCTCGCACCAACTGTCCATTTGTCGTGACAAGAAGACAGTATCAAGTGACAGAATCCTCCCACCAACTGTCCATTTGTCGTGACAAGAAGACAGTATCAAGTGACAGAATCCTCCCACCAACTGTCCATTTGTCGTGACAAGAAGACAGTATCAAGTGACAAGATCCTCCCACCAACTGTCCATTTGTCGTGACAAGAAGACAGTATCAAGTGACAGAATCCTCCCACCAACTGTCCATATGTCGTGAAAAGAAGACAGTATCAAGTGACAGGGTCCTCCCACCAACTGTCCATTTGTCGTGACAAGAAGACAGTATCAAGTGACAGAATCCTCCCACCAACTGTCCATTTGTCGTGACAAGAAGACAGTATCAAGTGACAGAATCCTCCCACCAACTGTCCATTTGTCGTGACAAGAAGACAGTATCAGGTGACATAATCCTCCCACCAACTGTTCATTTGTCGTGACAAGAAGACAGTATCAAGTGACAGAATCCTCCCACCTACTGTCCATTTGTCGTGACAAGAAGACAGTATCAAGTGACAAGATCCTCCCACCAACTGTCCATGTGTCATGACGGGAAGCCAGTAACAAGTGACAAGATCACCCCCCCCCCCCCCCCCCTAAAAAAAAAAAACCTCTCCGTCTGTCAAGACAAGGAGCCACCATCGTGTCCGCATAAACCTGTGTAATTGTCCAGGAGCTCGCCCACGACAGCCACGGACAGTCCATTCGGTGAGTTTATGGGGTCTGGGCTGGGATGAGACTGACAATGTGTGTGAGTACTGGCTGACTGGTGTGACTTCCACAATGTGTGTGAGTACTGGCTGATCGGTGTGACTTCCACAATGTGTGTGAGTACTGGCTGACTGGTGTGACTTCCACAATGTGTGTGAGTACTGGCTGACTGGTGTGACTTCCACAATGTGTGTGAGTACTGGCTGATCGGTGTGACTTCCACAATGTGTGTGAGTACTGGCTGACTGGTGTGACTTCCACAATGTGTGTGAGTACTGGCTGACTGGTGTGACTTCCACAATGTGTGTGAGTACTGGCTGACTGGTGTGACTTCCACAATGTGTGTGAGTACTGGCTGACTGGTGTGTGACTTCCACAATGTGTGTGAGTACTGGCTGACTGGTGTGACTTCCACAATGTGTGTGAGTACTGGCTGACTGGTGTGACTTCCACAATGTGTGTGAGTACTGGCTGACTGGTGTGACTTCCACAATGTGTGTGAGTACTGGCTGACTGGTGTGACTTCCACAATGTGTGTGAGTACTGGCTGACCTTTGTGACTTCCACAATGTGTGTGAGTACTGGCTGACTGGTGTGACTTCCACAATGTGTGTGAGTACTGGCTGACTGGTGTGACTTCCACAATGTGTGTGAGTACTGGCTGATCGGTGTGACTTCCACAATGTGTGTGAGTACTGGCTGACTGGTGTGACTTCCACAATGTGTGTGAGTACTGGCTGACTGGTGTGACTTCCACAATGTGTGTGAGTACTGGCTGATCGGTGTGACTTCCACAATGTGTGTGAGTACTGGCTGACTGGTGTGACTTCCACAATGTGTGTGAGTATTGGCTGACTGGTGTGACTTCCACAATGTGTGTGAGTACTGGCTGACTGGTGTGACTTCCACAATGTGAGTGAGTACTGGCTGACTGGTGTGACTTCCACAATGTGAGTGAGTACTGGCTGACTGGTGTGACTTCCACAATGTGTGTGAGTACTGGCTGACTGGTGTGACTTCCACAATGTGTGTGTACTGGCTGACTGGTGTGACTTCCACAATGTGTGTAAGTACTGGCTGACTGGTGTGACTTCCACAATGTGTGTGAGTACTGGCTGACTGGTGTGACTTCCACAATGTGTGTGAGTACTGGCTGATCGGTGTGACTTCCACAATGTGTGTGAGTACTGGCTGACTGGTGTGACTTCCACAATGTGTGTGAGTACTGGCTGACTGGTGTGACTTCCACAATGTGTGTAAGTACTGGCTGACTGGTGTGACTTCCACAATGTGTGTGAGTACTGGCTGACTGGTGTGACTTCCACAATGTGTGTGAGTACTGGCTGATCGGTTGCCACCAGCCTTGATTTCTACAATGTGTTCTGTGTTCAGTGTTTCTACCGACTGAATGGTGCGTGTGCGTGTGTTTATTTCTTTAAGAATGTTCCATGTGTGGGAAACTGTGAGTGTCTATATGTGGGAAACTGTGAGTGTCTGTATGTGGGAATAAGTGTGTGAGTGTTTGCGGGAGTGGGTGTGTGCAAGTGTTTGTTTAGGACATGTGTGCAGGATTGATACATTTGGGCGTGGAGGGGAGTAGGTCTAAGCAGGTTTCATTCTTGTGTAATGTTCTTATCACTTTAGGTGTTGACTGCAGGGACTGGCCAGCTAGCTTAACAGACTGGGGACTGGGACATCAGACCTACAACAGACTGGGGACTGGGACATCTGACCTACAACAGACTGGGAACTGGGACATCTGACCTAAAACAGACTGGGGACTGGGACATCTGACCTACAACAGACTGGGGACTGGGACATCTGACCTACAACAGACTGGGAACTGGGAAATCTGACCTACAACAGACTGGGGACTGGGACATCTGACCTACAACAGACTGGGAACTGGGAAATCTGACCTACAACAGACTGGGGACTGGGACATCTGACCTACAACAGACTGAGAACTGGAAATCTGACCTACAACAGACTGGGCACTGGGACATCTGACCTACAACAGACTGGGGACTGGGACATCTGACTACAACAGACTGAGAACTGGGACATCTGACCTACAACAGACTGAGAACTGGGACATCTGACCTACAACAGACTGGGGACTGGGACATCTGACCCACAAATTGACTGGGGACCGGGACATCTGACCCACAAACTGACAGCGGACTGGGACATCTGACCTACAACAGACTGGGGACTGGGACATCTGACCTACAACAGACTGGGGACTGGGACATCTGACCTTCAACAGACTGGGGACTGGGACATCTGACCTACAACAGACTAAGAACTGGGACATCTGACCTAAAACAGACTGGGGACTGGGACATCTGACCTACAACAGACTGGGGCCTGGGGCATCTGACCTGCAACAGACTGAGAACTGGGACATCTGACATACAACAGACTAGGGACTGCGACATCTGACCTACAACAGACTAAGAACTGGGACATCTGACCTACAACAGACTGGGGACTGGGACATCTGACCTACAACAGACTGAGAACTGGGACATCTGACCTACAACAGACTGAGAACTGGGACATCTGACCTACAACAGACTGGGGACTGGGACATCTGACCTACAACAGACTGAGAACTGGGACATCTGACCTACAACAGACTGGGGACTGGGACATCTGACCTACAGCAGACTGGGGACTGGGACATCTGACCTACAACAGACTGAGAACTGGGAAATCTGACCTACATCAGACTGGGGACTGGGACATCTGACCTACAACAGACTGGGGACTAGCACATCTGACCTACAACAGACTGAGAACTGGGAAATCTGACCTACAACAGACTGAGGACTGGGACATCTGACCTTCAACAGACTGGGAACTGGGACATCTGATCTACAACAGACTGAAAACTGGGACATCTGACCTACAACAGACTGGGGACTGGGGCATCTAACCTACAACAGACTGGGGACTGGGACATCTGACCTACAACAGACTGGGGACTGGGACATCTGACCTACAACAGACTGAGAACTGGGACATCTGACCTACAACAGACTGGGGACTGAGACATCTGACCTTCAGCAGGCTGAGGACTGGGACATCTGACCTACAACAGACTGGGGACTGGGACATCTGACTTACAACAGACTGGGGACTGGGACATCTGACTCACAAACAGACTGGGGACTGAAACATCTAACCCACAAACAGACTGGACAAACTTACGAGGACATTGTCTTCTGGGCAGGCGACATCGCTGGCTGGATGTCACGTGAGGACAGGGGCTACCGTTGGGAGAGGCTTGCTGCAGCACCTGCTGGGTTCGAGTCTGTGTGCCCCACTTGAAGCCACACGTCTGACCGTCACGGGAGCACTCCGACCAGGCCGTCCAGGGACCAGGCAAACAATCAACTAAAGGGGAGAGAGAGAGAAGGTACGTCACAGACAGAATTCAAACAATTAGGGGGGGGGGGTGAGGGTGGAGGAAGGTACGTCACAGACAGACAGTCAATCAACTGAGGGAGAGAGAGAAGTTACGTCACAGACACAGTCAAACAATTGGGGGGGGGGAGGGGGTGGGGAAGGTACGTCACAGACAGACAGTCAATCAGTTGAGGGAGAGAGAGAGAGAGAGAGAGAGAAGGTACGTCACAGACAGACAGTCAATCAACTGAGGGACGGGGGAGTAAAGCTACGTCACAGACAAACAGGAGAAAGAGAGAAGGTACGTCAGAGACAAACAGTCAATCAATTGAAAGGGAGATAGTAAAGCTACGTCACATACTGACAGTCAATCAACTGAGGGGAGAGAGAGAAGGTACGTTACACAGACAGACAGTCAATCAACTGAAACGAGGGAGGGGGGGGGGGATAGTCACAGACAGATAATAAATCAATTGAAGGGAAGAGAGTAAAGCTACGTCACATACTGACAGCCAATCAACTGAGGGAGAGAGAGAGAGGGTACGTTACACAGACAGTTAATCCACTAAAGAGGGGGGGGGGGGCATCGTCACAGACAGATAGTAAATCAAGTGTGGGGCGAAGGGAGAGAGAGAGAGAAAGGGAGAAAGAAGGTACGTCACAGACAGACAGTCAATCAACTGAGGGAGAGAGAGAGAGATAGAGAGTGAGAGAGAGAGAGAGAAGGTACGTCATAGACAGACAGTCAATCAAGTGAGGGATAGAGAGGGAGAAGGTACGTCACAGACAGAAAAACACTCAAGTGAGGAAGGGTTGTTTAAATACGTACAGACAGACAGACAGCGGTGAAGGAAAATATGTTGAGAGATTACTGCAACATTCAATTTTCAGTTAGGCAGACTGACAGACAGGCAGACTGACAGACAGACCGAGAACTGAGAAGACAGAAGGTAAGTTGAGAAGTTACTGAAACATTTTGTCGCGTCAGATAGGCACAGAGATAGATAGATAGATAGATAGATAGATAGATAGATAGATAGATAGATAGATAGATAGATAGATAGATAGATAGATAGATAGATAGATAGATAGATAGATAGATAGATAGATAGATAGATAGATAGATAGATAGATAGATAGATAGATAGATAGATAGATAGATAGATAGATAGATAGATAGATAGATAGATAGATAGATAGATAGATAGATAGATAGATAGATAGATAGATAGATAGATAGATAGATAGATAGATAGATAGATAGATAGATAGAGAGAGAGAGAGAGAGAGAGAGAGAGAGAGAGAGAGAGAGAGAGAGAGAGAGAGAGAGAGAGAGACTGTGAGAGAGAGAGAGAGAGAGAGAGAGAGACAGTCAGACAGACAACCAAACAAAGGTAAACTGAAATATTGCTACAAACAAGGGGACGTTTGTGATGTTTCTTGTTTCTAACATGTGCATGTGTTGTGTATATGTTGTGCATGTATTGTGAATGTGTTGTGCATGTGTTGTACATGTGTTGCGTATGTGTTGTGCATGAGTTGTGCATTTGTTGTGAATGTGTTGTGAATGTGTTGTGTTGTGGAGATATAGTGTTTATTGTGGCTGTGTAGTTTTGTAGTGGTATGTTGTGGAGGTACTGTGTTTTGGATGCGTGTTTTCAGCATATGGATGTGATGTGAGTATACGGTGTGGATGTGATGTGAGTATACTGTGTGGATGTGATGTGAGTATACTGTGTGGATGTGATGTGAGTATACTGTGTGGATGTGATGTGAGTATACTGTGTGGATGTGATGTCAGTATACTGTGTCGATGTGATGTAGGTATACTGTGTGGATGTGATGTGAGTATACTGTGTGGATGTGATGTGAGTATACTGTGTGGATGTGATGTGAGTATACTGTGTGGATGTGATATGAGTATACTGTGTGGATGTGATGTGAGTATACTGTGTGGATGTGATGTGAGTATACTGTGTGGATGTGATGTGAGTATACTGTGTGGATGTGATATGATAGGGGGGTGTTGTAAATGTGTTGTGGTGTAAGTGTGTTGTAAATATGTTGTGGTGTAAGTGTGTTGTAAATGTGTTGTGGTGTAAGTGTGTTGTAAATGTGTTGTGGTGTAAGTGTGTTGTAAATGTGTTCTGGTGTAAGTGTGTTGTAAATGTGTTGTGGTGTAAGTGTGTTGCAAATGTGTTGTGGTGTAAGTGTGTTGCAAATGTGTTGTGGTGAAAGTGTCTTGCAAATGTGTTGTGGTGTAAGTGTGTTGTAAATGTGTTGTGGTGTAAGTGTGTTGTAAATGTGTTGTGGTGTAAGTGTGTTGCAAATGTGTTCTGGTGTAAGTGTCTTGCAAATGTGTTGTGGTGTAAGTGTGTTGTAAATGTGTTGTGGTGTAAGTGTGTTGCAAATGTGTTGTGGTGAAAATGTATTGCAAATGTGTTGTGGTGTAAGTGTGTTGCAAATGTGTTGTGGTGTAAGTATGTTGAAAATGTGTTGTGGTGTAAGTGTAGTGTAAATGTGTTGTGGTGTAAGTGTGTTGTAAATGTGTTGTGGTGTAAGTGTGTTGCAAATGTGTTGTGGTGAAAGTGTGTTGCGAATGTGTTGTGGTGTAAGTGTGTTGCAAATGTGTTGTGGTGTAAGTGTGTTGCAAATGTGTTGTGGTGTAAGTGTGTTGTAAATGTGTTGTGGTGAAAGTGTGTTGTAAATGTGTTGTGGTGAAAGTGTGTTGTAAATGTGTTGTGGTGTAAGTGTGTTGTAAATGAGTTGTGGTGTAAGTGTGTTGCAAACGTGTTGTGGTGTAAGTGTGTTATAAATGTGTTGTGGTGAAAGTGTGTTGTAAATGCGTTGTGGTGTAAGTGTGTTGTAAATGTGTTGTGGTGAAAGTGTGTTGTAAATGCGTTGTGGTGTAAGTGTGTTGTAAATGTGTTGTGGTGTAAGTGTAGTGTAAATGTGTTGTGGTGTAAGTGTAGTGTAAATGTGTTGTGGTGTAAGTGTGTTGTAAATGTGTTGTGGTGTAAGTGTATTGCAAATGTGTTGTGGTGAAAATGTATTGCAAATGTGTTGTGGTGTAAGTGTAGTGTAAATGTGTTGTGGTGTAAGTGTGTTGTAAATGTGTTGTGGTGTAAGTGTGTTGCAAATGTGTTGTAGTGAAAGTGTGTTGCAAATGTGTTGTGGTGTAAGTGTGTTGCAAATGTGTTGTGGTGTAAGTGTGTTGCAAATGTGTTGTGGTTTTAGTGTGTTGTAAATGTGTTGTCGTGAAAGTGTGTTGTAAATGTGTTGTGGCGAAAGTGTGTTGTAAATGTGTTGTGGTGAAAGTGTGTTGTAAATGTGGTGTAAGTGTGTTGTAAATGAGTTGTGGTGTAAGTGTGTTGCAAATGTGTTGTGGTGTAAGTGTGTTGTAAATGTGTTGTGGTGAAAGTGTGTTGTAAATGCGTTGTGGTGAAAGTGTGTTTAAATGTGTTGTGGTGAAAGTGTGTTGTAAATGCGTTGTGGTGTAAGTGTGTTGTAAATGTGTTGTGGTGTAAGTGTGTTGTAAATGTGTTGTGGTGTAAGTGTGTTGTAAATGTGTTGTGGTGTAAGTGTGTTGTAAATGTGTTGTGGTGTAAGTGTGTTTTTGTAAATGTGTTTTTTTTGTGGTGTAAGTGTGTTGTAAATGTGTTGTGGTGTAAGTGTGTTGTAAATGTGTTGTGGTGTAAGTGTGTTGTAAATGTGTTGTGGTGTAAGTGTGTTGTAAATGTGTTGTGGTGTTAGTGTGTTGCAAATGTGTTGTGGTGTAAGTGTGTTGTAAATGTGTTGTGGTGTAAGTGTAGTGTAAATGTGTTGTGGTGTAAGTGTGTTGTAAATGTGTTATGGTGTAAGTGTAGTGTAAATGTGTTGTGGTGTAAGTGTGTTGTAAATGTGTTGTGGTGTAAGTGTGTTGTAAATGTGTTGTGGTGTAAGTGTGTTGCAAATGTGTTGTGGTGTAAGTGTGTTGTAAATGTGTTGTGGTGTAAGTGTGTTGTAAATGTGTTGTGGTGTAAGTGTGTTGTAAATGTGTTGTGGTGTAAGTGTTTTGCAAATGTGTTGTGGTGTAAGTGTGTTGCAAATGTGTTGTGGTGTAAGTGTGTAGCAAATGTGTTGTGGTGTAAGTGTGTTGTAAATGTGTTGTGGTGTAAGTGTGTTGCAAATGTGTTGTGGTGTAAGTGTGTTGTAAATGTGTTGTGGTGTAAGTGTTTTGCAAATGTGTTGTGGTGTAAGTGTGTTGTAAATGTGTTGTGGTGTAAGTGTAGTGTAAATGTGTTGTGGTGTAAGTGTGTTGCAAATGTGTTGTGGTGTAAGTGTGTTGTAAATGTGTTGTGGTGTAAGTGTAGTGTAAATGTGTTGTGGTGTAAGTGTGTTGCAAATGTGTTGTGGTGTAAGTGTGTTGTAAATGTTTTGTGGTGTAAGTGTGTTGTATATGTGTTGTGGTGTAAGTGTGTTGTAAATGTGTTGTGGTGTAAGTGTAGTCTAAATGTGTTGTGGTGTCAGTGTGTTGTAAATGTGTTGTGGCGTAAGTGTGTTGTAAATGTGTTGTGGTGTAAGTGTGTTGTAAATGTGTTGTGGTGTAAGTGTAGTGTAAATGTGTTGTGGTGTAAGTGTAGTGTAAATGTGTTGTGGTGTAAATGTGTTGCAAATGTGTTGTGGTGTAAGTGTGTTGTAAATGTGTTGTGGTGTAAGTGTAGTGTAAATGTGTTGTGGTGTAAGTGTGTTGTAAATGTGTTGTGGTGTAAGTGTGTTGTAAATGTGTTGTGTTGTAAGTGTGTTGTAAATGTGTTGTGGTGTAAGTGTGTTGTAAATATGTTGTGGTGTAAGTGTGTTGTAAATGTGTTGTGGTGTAAATGTGTTGTAAATGTGTTGTGGTGTAAGTGTGTTGTAAATGTGTTGTGGTGTAAGTGTGTTGTAAATGTGTTGTGGTGTAAGTGTGTTGCGAATGTGTTTTCGTGTGAGTGTGATGTGGATGACGACCGCACAGCTGAGGTCCGCACTGACCTCTGTCCTTGCACTCCCTGGTATAGTTGGCGTAGTACGTGCCGTCTGGGCACCGATGGAGACACTGTCCCTGACTGACCAGGTACGGCTCCTCGCACAGCGTGCAGAAATTGCCATCGAAGCAGCTTTGGCAATGTTCAATGTGGCATCCTGCCAGACACACACACAGACAGAGAATGTACACAAGTAACAAGGAAGTGGGGGGGAGGGGGGAGGGGGGGCAGGGGGAGGGGGGGGGGGTTAGTAGTGTAACAGTAGTTTAGAACATGAACAGGCTCGAATGTGGACAACCCTATTGTGTACACGGGAATGTGGACAACCCTGCTGTGTACATGGACATGTGGACAACCCTGTTGTGTACATGGACATGTGGACAACCCTGTTGTGTACATGGACATGTGGACAATCCTGTTGTGTACATGGACATGTGGACAACCCTGTTGTGTACATGGACATGTGGACAACCCTGTTGTGTACATGGACATGTGGACAACCCTGTTGTGTACATAGACATGTGGACAACCCTGTTGTGTACATGGACACGTGGACAACCCTGTTGTGTACATGGACATGTGGACAACCCTGTTGTGTACATGGACATGTAAACAACCCTGTTGTGTACATGGACATGTGGACAACGCTGTTGTGTACATGGATATGTGGACAACCCTGTTGTGTGCACGGGAATGTGGACAACCCTGTTGAGTACATGGACATGTGGACAGCCCTGTTGTGTACATGGACATGTGGACAACCCTGTTGTGTACATGGACATGTCGACAACCCTGTTGTGTACATGGACATGTGGACAACCCTGTTGTGTACATGGACATGTGGACAACCCTGTTGTGTACATAGACACGTGGACAACCCTATTGTGTGCATTGGAATGTGGGCAACCCTGTTGTGTACATGGGAATGTGGACAACCCTGTTGTGTACATGGGAATGTGGACAACCCTATTGTGTGACGAGAATGTGGACAACCCTGTTGTGTACACGGGAATGTGGACAACCCTGTTGTGTACATGGACATGTGGGCAACCCTACTGTGTGCATGAGAATGTGGACAACCCTGTTGTGTACATGGGAATGTGGACAACCCTGTTGTGTACATGGATATGTGGACAACCCTGTTGTGTACATGGGAATGTGGACAACCCTGTTGTGTACATGGACATATGGACAACCCTATTGTGTGCACGGGAATGTGGACAACCCTGTTGTGTACATGGACATGTGGATAACCCTGTTGTGTACATGGACATGTGGACAACCCTGTTGTGTACATGGCCATGTGGACAACCCTGTTGTGTACATGGACATGTGGACAACCCTGTTGTGTGCACGGGAATGTGGACAACCCTGTTGTGTGCACGGGAATGTGGACAACCCTGTTGTGTACATGGACATGTGGACAACTTTGTTGTGTGCACGCGAATGTGGACAACCCTATTGTGTGCACGGAAATGTGGACAACCCTATTGTGTGCACGGGAATGTGGACAACCCTGTTGTGTACACGGGAATGTGGACAACCCTGTTGTGTACATGGACATGTGGACAACCCTGTTGTGTACATGGGAATGTGGACAAACCTATTGTGTGCACGGGAATGTGGACAACCCTGTTGTGTATATGGGAATGTGGACAACCCTATTGTGTATATGGGAATGTGGACAACCCTATTGTGTACATGGGAATGTGGACAAACCTGTTGTGTACACGGGAATGTGGACAACCCTATTGTGTGCATGGGAATGTGGACAACCCTGTTGTGTACACAGGAATGTGGACAACCCTGTTGTGTACATGGGAATGTGGACAACCCTGTTGTGTACATGGGAATGTGGACAACCCTGTTGTGTACATGAGAATGTGGACAACCCTGTTGTGTACATGGACATGTGGACAACCCTGTTGTGTACATGGTCTCACTGACTGACAAATGTATCCGCTGGCGAGAGGTTGCCTAATGTTGGTTCTCTTGTTTGTTAGGGGGGGGGGGGGGGGGTGTATGACGTGTCGCTAAGTTTCTGTCCCAACAAACTTGGCATTTTGTAACTCATTGTCTCCTTGTCCACTGATTTATAACTATCAATGTTGAATTTGCTGCATCTGTTGCCTTCCTCTATTAACTGACTGTCGGCTCCCATGATGCACCTGTTGCCTTCCTCTAGTAACTGACTGACTGTCGGCTCCCATGATGCATCTGTTGCCTTCCTGTAGTAACTGACAGTCTGTCGGCTCCCATGATGCATCTGTTGCCTTCCTCTAATAACTTACAGTCTGTCGGCTCCCATGATGCATTTGTTGCCTTCCTCTAGTAACTGACAGTCTGTCGGCTCCCATGATGCATCTGTTGCCTTCCTCTAGTAACTGACTGACTGTCGGCTCCCATGATGCACCTGTTGCCTTCCTCTAGTAACTGACAGTCTGTCGGCTCCCATGATGCATCTGTTGCCTTCCTCTAGTAACTGAATGTCCGCTCCCATGATGCATCTGTTGCCTTCCTCTAGTAACTGACTGTCTGTCGGCTCCCATGATGCATCTGTTGCCTTCCTCTATTAACTGACTGTCGGCTCCCATGATGCATCTGTTGCCTTCCTCTAGTAACTGACTGTCTGTCGGCTCCCATGATGCACCTGTTGCCTTCCTCTAGTAACTGACTGTCTGTCGGCTCCCATGATGCATCTGTTGCCTTCCTCTAGTAACTACAGTCTGTCGGCTGCCATGATGCACCTGTTGCCTTCCTGTAGTAACTGACAGTCTGTCGGCTCCCATGATGCATCTGTTGCCTTCCTCTAGTCACTGACAGTCTGTCGGCTCCCATGATGCATTTGTTGCCTTCCTGTAGTAAATGACTGTCTGTCGGCTCCCATGATGCATCTGTTGCCTTCCTCTAATAACTTACAGTCTGTCGGCTCCCACGATGCATCTGTTGCCTTCCTGTAGTAACTGACTGACTGTCGGCTCCCATGATGCATCTGTTGCCTTCCTCTAGTAACTGACTGACTGTCGGCTCCCATGATGCATCTGTTGCCTTCCTCTAGTAACTGACAGTCTGTCGGCTCCCATGATGCATCTGTAGCCTTCCTCTAGTAACTGACTGACTGTCGGCTTCCATGATGCATCTGTTGCCTTCCTCTAGTAACTGACAGTCTGTCGGCTCCCATGATGCATCTGTTGCCTTCCTCTAGTAACTGACTGACTGTCGGCTCCCATGATCCAACTGTTGCCTTCCTCTAGTCACTGACTGACTGTCGGCTCCCATGATGCATCTGTTGCCTTCCTGTAGTAACTGACTGACTGTCGGCTCCCATGATGTATCTGTTGCCTTCCTCTAGTCACTGACAGTCTATCGGCTCCCATGATGCATTTGTTGCCTTCCTGTAGTAACTGACTGACTGGTGGCTCCCATGATGCACCTGTTGCCTTCCTGTAGTAACTGACAGTCTGTCATCTCCCATGATGCACCTGTTGCTTTCCTCTAGTAACTGACAGTCTGTCGGCTCCCATGATGCACCTGTTGCCCTCCTCTAGTAACTGACTGTCTGTCGGCTTCCATGATGCATCTGTTGCCTTCCTCTAGTAACTGACTGACTGTCGGCTCCCATGATGCACCTGTTGCCTTCCTCTAGTAACTGACTGACTGTCGGCTCCCATGATGCACCTGTTGCCTTCCTCTAGTAACTGACAGTCTGTCCGCTCCTATGATGCATCTGTTGCCTTCCTGTAGTAACTGACTGACTGTCGGCTCCCATGATTCATCAGTTGCCTTCCTCTAGTAACTGACTCACTGTCGGCTCCCATGATGCATCTGTTGCCTTCCTCTAGTCACTGACAGTCTGTCGACTCCCATGATGCATCTGTTGCCTTCATGTAGTAACTGACTGACTGTCGGCTCCCATGATGCATCTGTTGCCTTCCTCTAGTCACTGACAGTCTGTCAGCTCCCATGATGCATCTGTTGCCTTCCTGTAGTAACTGACTGACTGTCGGCTTCCATGATGCATCTGTTGACTTCCTCTAGTAACTGACTGTCGGCTCCCATGATGCATCTGTTGCCTTACTCTAGTAACTGACTGTCGGCTCCCATGATGCATCTGTTGCCTTCCTCTAGTCACTGACAGTCTGTCAGCTCCCATGATGCATCTGTTGCCTTCCTGTAGTAACTGACTGACTGTCGGCTCCCATGATGCATCTGTTGCCTTCCTCTAGTAACTGACTGACTGTTGGCTCCCATGATGCATCTGTGGCCTTCCTCTAGTAACTGACAGTCTGTCGGCTCCCATGATGCATCTGTTGCCTTCCTCTAGTAACTGACTGTCTGTCGGCTCCCATGGTGCATCTGTTGCCTTCCTCTAGTAACTGACTGACTGTCGGCTCCCATGGTGCATCTGTTGCCTTCCTCTAGTCACTGACAGTCTGTCAGCTCCCATGATGCATCTGTTGCCTTCCTGTAGTAACTGACTGACTGTCGGCTCCCATGATGCATCTGTTGCCTTCCTCTAGTAACTGACTGACTGTCGGCTCCCATGATGCATCTGTGGCCTTCCTCTAGTAACTGACAGTCTGTCGGCTCCCATGATGCATCTGTTGCCTTCCTCTAGTAACTGACTGTCTGTCGGCTCCCATGGTGCATCTGTTGCCTTCCTCTAGTAACTGACTGACTGTCGGCTCCCATGGTGCATCTGTTGCCTTCCTCTAGTAACTGACAGTCTGTCGGCTCCCGTGATGCATCTGTTGCCTTCCTCTAGTAACTGACTGACTGTCGGCTCCCATGATGCAGCGCAAATTCCAGACAAATCAGTTCTGTAACAGGCCTTCTCTTATCACTCCAACCTAAAGTTGCTGAATAATTACTGTTACATTTGCTATGGTATAGACAACGCTCATTGATACAATGGCTATAGTATAGAAAACACTGACTGTAACATTTGCTATAATATAGACAAAACATTCTGTAAAATTTGCTGTTAAATAGATAACACTTACTATAATATTTGATATAATATAGACAACACATATTGTAACATTTGCTATCATATAGAAAACACTCTAACGATTGCTATAATAC